GAAGTTTATATCTCTCAGTTGATTCGATTCGCAAAAGCATGTTCTACGCATGTACAAATTTTTAAAATGAGGTAAGAACTGCGTACGATAGTATTGTTCTCCCGCCTACCTCCAAGTTAACATATTCGATGACTTTTTAATAAATTTTATAGATAATTATATGGATTTTCATAAAACATTACTTAATTATTTGAGAAAACAAATAGAGATAACTCTAAAATTTTGGTAAAACTTGTGTTTTTGACCATAGAAATCAACGGAAAACGGGAAATATTTTTAACCCCCCCCCCCATGACACAAAAATTCCTTTTTACGGGTAATATGGACTGTTACTTCAAAAATTCATACCAAAGCTTTTTGTGTATCACGGGGGGGGGGGGGATTATGTTTATTGACAAAAAACGACAAAAATGCTTATTTTCCAGCAATTTCAAAGCGATTAACAACTAAGATATTATATTTTGTTAATATATTTATGTTTTATTTATTTGTCTAAAACAAAAGACAATATATATGGACCATTTAATCATATCCAAGACGATTTCAAAATATGGTAATGCTTGAAAGTCCCCAATTTCAATGGAAATTTTCGTCTATCCCCCTTTTTTCAAGAGCTGGAATTATGGATAATTTACCATTTAGCGCTGGTATTAAGACAATTCATCAATTACCAGTGAATTGTTCTTTGTATTAAACAAAAATTGTATAGCCAAATTGCCATTTATATTGAATTAAATGGTTGCAAAATGAAGGCGGGAATCGAGAGTTAGCGTGCGTATTTCTTATTGACAAACAAGTAGCTGTAACAAGAATATCAGCAGTCTGGTTTAAAGTCATCATTTGTAATTTCTATGGTCGATACAATGACTGTGTCAGCAAAAATACAGTGTACTTTATCATTGAGTCAAATGCTGACTGACGTTTTTCATACGAATTGTTAGTCCATTACACTAATTTGACGACGAATTTTTCCGTTATTTCCTGATCATTACAGAAAGCATACGGCAGTTGTGACCGATCGGCAGATGATGCTAACTCCTCGATAGCACCTGATCCCACATCTGATGTTTTGGAGGTCCGTGTTTGCTCTGCTCCTATTTTGTATTGTTTTATGGACTTTTGATCTTGAATACTGTTCGTTATCTCCATATGTTTCATTTACATTTAATATGAAAAACCTCAGTCAGCATTTGACTTTACGATAGATTTAAATTGCTGAGATGGTCATTGTATCGACCAAAGACTTAAGGAATGATGACTTTAAAGCGAGACTGTTGATATTCTTGTTTTATCAACTCGTGTGTCTATAATTACCTCATTTTGAACATTGTTTATTTATAAAGCATGCTCTTGCGTATCAAATCAACTGAGAAAAACAAACACTATATTATGCAGGTGTTAAGGGTATATTGCTGCAGAGGTAAGGGAAGTTGATGATTTAAAAATTTAAGTCACCACGTTTATATAACAATTAAATGATGAAATTTAATATACATGTATTCCAGATTAAAAAAACAATCAAAAAAATAAAAAATAACACTTAAATGTTAGAACTTAAACTTGAATAAGGTACTTTCTGGATATACTTGAATATTACTTGCGTCAACCACTCATCATATGTTAGTTTTGCCTTTTTTGTTTAAAAAATCATTCCGATTGTAAACACAAGTACCGTCTCTGAAGTTGACATCAAATAGATGCTTGAGTTTCTGACAATATCTACGTGGTTTTTGGAGACCAGATCTTCCAACAATCTTTTGGAATTCCCATGGGTGCCAATTTCTATTCATATGAATTTGTCCTAAAAATCTTATACGTGAAAAGATGAAAACTGTGGCCTTCAACTCGACATTTAGATGATTATATAGAAGGCGTATTGTCAATAAACAATGGTTATTCCATTCTAATGTCGATACGATTTATCCTGGTGAGCTTGAGATAAAAGATACCAAAGAATCTGACACATCTGTTTCATATTTGGATATTTTACTTGAAAAAAGGCGTTAATGGTAGTCTAACAACCAAGCTCAATGATAAACGTGATGACTTAAACTTTTCAATCGTCAACTTCCCTTACTTATGCAGCAATATACATGTACCTTCATTAGATGCATTCGGAGTTTATATCCCTCAGTTGCTTCGATGCGCAAGAGCATGTTTTACGTATTTACAATTTCTAAAATGAAGTAAATTATTGAAGAACAAGTTGATGAAACAAGAATATCAGAAGTCTCGTTTAAAGTCATCATTTCGTAAGTTCTATGGTCGATACAATGACCATGTCGGCAAATATCATTGAGTCAAATGCTGACTAACGTTTTTCGTACTAATTTTTAGTCCATTATTTACACACTGAATTGACGACGGAATTTTCCTGTTATATGCCGATCATGATAAGGTGCACACAGCGGGTGTGACCGGTCGACAGTGGATTCTCGCTCCTCCATGGCACCTGATCCCACCTCTGACGTTTTAGAGGTCCGTGTTTGCACTGCTCCTATTTTGTACTGTTTATTGGATTTTGATCTCGAATACTGTTCGTTATGTCCATATTTTTTATATCTTGGAAAAGAACCATTGTCTCTTTTTCATCCTGAATACGTTTGCTTCTTATCTTTTTATGGAGAACATTTTTTGTCTTCTTTTACTTAATAAAAACACAAGGATATTAGCTTACTTTGTTTCTGAAAACAAATAACTGTTGATTTTCTATCACCATTGTGATGCTTTTAAATAAATTCAGAATGTAAGCGTCAATATCAACGTTGGAAACTTCTGCCAATTAGATTTCTTCCATGTACGTTTTTTTTTTTTTGTAAAGCTTCTTCTAGATATATGGAGATGCACTCTTGTTTCAATTATATAAAATTTACCTTTCTATGCTCCCTTTCTTCTGCTTCATGTATAGCCTTGACCAAAAACTCAGAAATATTCCCAAAAAAGTCCTTTTTGAGATCAAAGTTTATTATATTGAAAATCTCCATCTGACAATAAAAACTAAGAGTTTTATACGTAATATGTAGAATGTTAATCATATCTAAATTTGTTTTGCAGCTAAAAAGAAAAAATCTTTCTTCGATTACAACATACAAAATCAAAAGAAAATGGCGTTCAAAACTATAGAGTACCTATTACTCTGTATTCAATTAAAAAAGCACTAACTTGTAACTATTAATTATGTACCAAATACAATGAATATTATTTTATATTAACACCCTTACCTTAATGCTTGAATTTCTTACTCAATACAATGAATCTTTACTTGAAAAGGTGCGCCTTAAAGCTCTTTCATCTACATATAACAAGAACGGAAAGTCCTAACATGGCTCGCCGTCCAGCTTAGTTGAACGTAGCAAGAAAGATAACTTCTAGGCTAGGCATACAAAGTCGTATATAAGGTATGAAAAATATGTAGAATGTTACCTAGTGTCGTAACATAAAAATGGACGGGCCATGTAACAACGATTTCTTGAAAAGTAAATGTTAGCAAAATTTAAGCAAGAATAGAATGTACAGGCGATTTGACGGTCTGTTATTAAATGCAAAATAACTTTTGATCCATTTATAATAGAGACCAAAAATTTGGACATATTTATAAAAAGTCCCCATTTTTTATACAGTATAGCGGTCAATGTCATATTTTAAGGTCAAATACTAGTATTGTGACGTTATCTACTGATTCTTTTAATTATTTATACATAAAATATTTTCTTAAATTGCCAAAATATCTGAAACTGTCGTTTCAGTATTCCTCATTTTGACACATTTAAATCTGGGTTTCATTTCTGTTGATTTTTGTACAAATTGCATTATACATTTTTGTAAGAAACGTTTCGATGCAGCATACTAACCTGATAATTTTCAATTCCTGGGCTAAGCATGTTCATTTCTCATCATATTTTACTTAAATATACCGATATTAATAATAATTTTCTTACATTCAGTAACAGAAAGGTTGTATTTATTTTCAAAAAAGTATCACACAAACTGCAGTAGATAAGTCATTAACATAAAAATGGCATATTCTTAACGAGGCCGAGTCTAATTCGAGTGCGCATGACTTTGCGCAGCTTTTTAATTTCTGCAGTCAATTGTGTGACGGTACACCTTTGCCAAATATTTTGATTTGAATACAAAATTAACATTATCTGTAACCCCTACTTGTCTGAAAATGTGATTTTACGACAATTATTAGGGAAAAACGCTGAAATGGCTCTAGTGACGTCACCATTTTCGGATTTTGTAAGCAACGCGTGATGCTGAAGAATGACGCATGACTCGCTCGTATGTTCAAGATGTCTATGGATATTATACTAAAAACTGATGACAGAACATCTAAAGAAGCATATTAGCAATTCAAATTTATGCAAAAAATCGTAAGTGCCGATATTCATCTGCACTTATATGTAGTTATACCGTAATATGACAATTTTAGAGGTATAGGGCTTGAAAATATAAATTTAGTAATTACATGTACCTAGACCAAAGTAGATGGTGAATCTATTTGAAATTTCATATTTTGGTGATTTTTTACAATAACTTTCAAGTACTTGAATGAAAAAGAAATTTCTAGGGCAGAAATAAAAAAAATATGGAAAAATGTGATAAATTGACACTTTTTCAATAAATTTCCATAAGTTCCAATAGTAAAATTTGACAACTTTTGAAATGGTCCCCTAAGAAATCGGGGTGGTAAACATTCGATTTTTTTAATCTTAAAACAATAATTATAACAGTAAAAATTAATTATCAAAAAATTGTCAAAATCCCTAGGGCAGAAATAATTAGACTTGGCCTCGTTAAAGGCAATGTCTGATTTCACAATCTTCTTACAGGGGATATTTCAAACTATTTGGGCAAAAAAAGTGCGGTTGAATTTCTTTCAAATTAAATATAAAGAGAGATTTTGTATCCTTGAAAAAAAAATCAGTTTCAAAAATATTGAATGTGAGGAAAAATTTGGCCTTTCTATTATGTGCACCCTTATTTCTTTATATAAACATAAGCGTATTGATTTCGGGAAATCCCCGGTCATGTGCATATGTCGTAACATTTCCATGAAAGGCAACTTTCGTTATTCAATGGTAAGACATTACAAAATGTATTTATAGACTTCTTTTCCACATAGTTTTGTATTTATCTTTTTAAACTACCTGTGAAGATCAACATTTAAACTTTTATATTTCTTTCATTTTATACTCGTACGTCAGTTTTTTTTAAATTGATATTTAAATTGGTAGACCTCATCAGGCCCCTTTTCTACTCTATTCCATTTGATTTTTGTGTCGATTCATTTTAAAATAGACTTTATCTATAGTTGACTTAATAAACAAATAAGTTTTCAAAATGTGGATTTTAAAAAAAATAGGTTTATAAGTAGGTAGTTATAAATAAAGTATGGGCACTTCCTGTTTAGATGAGGAGATATGTATTCAAATCTTTTGTATTTAGAACAGAACTGACTGTTGATTCTTAACTCTCTCCCACTGTTAATATACTACCCAGTATATTACTTTACATTTTGTCTCCCTTACTGTACAGTGAAAAGGGGAAAGAAAGCGAATAATGATTCATCTATTAAAAAATACAAATTTGTAAAAAGACATACACACAGACCCATGGAAATTCGTGAGGTGGGATCGGATGCCTTGAGGAGTAAACATCCCCTGTTGACCGGTCACACCCGCTCACTGACCCTCAGAATATCAGAGGTGGGATTAGTTACCTAGGTGGAGTAAGCATCCCCTGTGAACCGGTCACACCCATCTTGAGCTCTTTGTATAGATCAGGAGGACGGAACATTATGTTGTCAAAATTAGTATAGAAACAAAGGCTTAGCAATTGGTATGAGACAAGTTAGCCAAAAGTGAACCAATTAAAATGGTTATATATGCTAACATGGTCATTATAACGGGCAAAGAATTTGTGAAATGTTGACTTTTAACACGTTGTTGAAAACCCTGTTACATCAACTTATCTGTTAGAAGCCTGTGTCGGTCATGTACTCGGAGCATGCTCTTTGGTATCAAATAAGTTGGAAGATGCAATCATCATTGCATATGCAGATGGGAACTGACATTTCTATAAATAAAGTTAACAATGGAAAAGAAGCAATCTTGTTTGTCGTGCAATTTAGTTGGTTTGCCTTCTTAGTATATAGTCAATAAAACATCTATAATATGAAACAGATATGGCGGACTATGAATGTCTTTAATTTCAAGTTCTCTTAGATATATTGAGTTGAAGGCAACAGCATTTTTTTTCTTCTTCTTCTCACGTACATGCATAATTATGTTTTTAAATAAATAACCCCAACAGTTTGTCTGAAGACCTGGTCAACAAAGACTACATAAATGTGTCAATGAGGAATTCCATGGCCAGCATCCTTTTTACACAATTTTCAATGAACTTGGAATAAAATCAACCAGGGTCAATTGAAACCATCAGAGATTGGTTTGAATGCCATGAAAGTGTATACATTCTCCGTCGGGCGGTCATAACAATTTGTCTTAAAAAATTTCATTAAAAAACCTAACAGATTTTTTTTACATTTAACGAGGTTATTGATGACTAACTTAAATCTAAGTTTAGACTAACTCAACCTCTGCTGATTGATTTGGATTTACATGCCTCGTAATAACCTCATTAGTAACCTGCCTCGGTCTGAAAACTGATCGGATGCAGTTTCAAGTCAACTGAGAGGTTAATGCACAATATGCAAGTAATGATTGCAGTTAAAAAGTCGGCCATTAATGATTTTTCTCTTGTAAAATATAAATTAAATGTGATAGACACCTATAGTGTTTTATTTCGATTTCAGTGAAGTATATTGCGTTGATTTATTAACTATAATATATTGTTCATGGATAAAATCTCGTCATCCTCTTTTAATATCGAATTGAAGGCAACAGCTGCATCAATGTTGTATGACTTCTTTACTTACTTGTAAACTAGGTAAGACTGTTTCCACCTGTCTGTACATTACATGTAGATGTATTTATTCGAGACACTATCGATGATTAATAACTCGCAAATACTTTAAAACTTTCATTTAAGCGTAATCATAAAGTGAACATAAGGAAGATTCTATTCATGCATATACATATTTATATTGTTTTTGGTAGGTTGTTACCATGAATTAGACACTGGAAAACTCTGAAATGCCTAACTGTAAGTTTGAACACTCTTAAAATTATTCAAAAAGCATCGTTTTGTTTTTGAAGTTTTTAGTGTCTATCTTAAATATTATAATTCCTTTTCAAACAAGTTAACTTAAAGTGTATATGAATTTCAGAATAATTATATGAAATTCGTTCGTTAATTTGGTGATCATTCCAGATTTAACTGCAGAGGAAATACAAGAGTTATACGAGAGATGCGCAGATTTCGCAGAAGAAACCGACTGCAGATATGCACCGATATACCAAATGTGGCGCGACAAACCCGATCATTACTGGAGAGATATCTTTCAGAACAAAAGAGGCGCCATGATTCCTTACATTAAAGATTTCAATGGCGACCAGAGGTCCGCCATTAACGGGAATATTAAGGGTCTGTTTTTTGGATGCGCGTTAGATCGCTGGAGATTACAACCGCCATTTTTCTCCTACTTTGGAAATCAACGTCTGCTAGTTGATTCGGATCTTGTCTTGAACCAATCGAAAAATTTGTATTTTGCGGATTTTTACTGTCACTATCAATATCACTACGCGACCTTAGTCGTGACGAATCCGGGGTCAAAGCAGGACCGATTTTGCCAGGAACACGACCTTTATGAACTCGACATTTTCGATAACCCTTTTCTGTACCTTGGCGAATCTAGGGGATACGGACCAAATCCAGTGTACGTTACCCTTGGGGTCAGAGTAGAAATATTTGTTACCAATAGAATGAACATTTATCATTTGTTTAACAGCAGAAAAGGGCGATTGATAAATGTGCAGCCCCGCGGTCGAGGTCACAGTCATAAGAATGGAATCCCCAAAAAAGAAGTGTGCGACATCTGCAACCTAAACCCTGCGTCATACAGTAGGAGAATGGGGTATTTCTGGTATTAATGCTCTAAAGGTTTTGTCAGGGCAATCTTAACCCTGTATCTTTCAATAGAAGGATGGATAATTTCTGATATTGCAGATGGACTCTGTTATCTTAAGTTTTGTGCTAAAAATTAATCTTCCCTTTTAAAAAAAATTATGAAAAATAAATGGAGGGATATGAAGTGTAAAATGGGTCAAAAATATTTTATGAAAGGAGGGGGGGATAAAATGAAATGTCTAAGATGAATGCACTTTCATCAGGGAGTACTGTATGTCAAATACATACAGGAAGTTTTTATTAATTGAATAATTCTATAATATTTCTTTCAAAGAAATATCAGAAACAGTTAATCCAAAAATTACTTTTAAAAATATGGGCAGTAAATTAAAGATTTCAGAGTGAAATCGTCATCCAAATCACTGTATACAAAGTGCGAATTGAAAATCTACTTGATTTGGATCACTTGCTATATTGCTTTGGGTACTCTGATGCATTATGGGTAAAAAAGAAAATTCTGCAGGCAAAATATGGGTAAAAGTAACTTTAAGAAATTAGAAAACATATTAAACCTGTATAGAATCAATGTAAATTTATTTGAGAAAATTTTTAAGTTGAAACAAGTTAGAAATTCGATACCATTCTCATTTACTACGTTTAAATGGGATTTTCGCTCATTTTGCATTATTTCAATTGTTCTTAATTTTTTCAAACTATATTCTGTTGTAAAAGTTATTGTATCTTAGTTTCCGCCTCAATTCACCCACGAAACATCATCTGATTTCTATAAATTACGCTTTTTAGAGAAATTGGGCTATTCTTGTTTTGAGTGAATGCTATACTATGTTTGCAACATATTTTTGCGATGGCTATACTTTTTTCGGATCCTTTTTGTGATTTGCATGAAATTAAGATTTATTGTTTTTTGTTAAAATTATCGCGATTTAAACAGTTTTGAAAAAGGTATTGGCATTTATTATCACAAGAGAAACATTTATCAGTCGAAAGAAATGAGACAGAAATAAATAAATATAGAATTTGATGAAATGTGCTATCATTGCTGGTGTTTGTGCGATACTTGATTTGCGTTTTGTCACGATTGATACAGAAATGCTATGTTTGATTTGTGTCTTTGTGATTTTGTGAATACTTCTTGAAGAATGAAGCCGTATATAGGGGGAGTATAATCCAAAGACACTGTCTCGAGTTTATGTCATTATATAAGTTATTGATAATTACACGTAATATATTTTTACTTATGTTTTAAAGGTATGTAAAACGGAAAAAAGGGCTTCACAAACTAATCGAATTTTTTCCAAAGCTCATGATAGGCGTAAGACTGAATGCGTTAACCACAATATGCTACGGTGTCTTCTTGCTGTTTGTGTGTCAATTTGCTTAAAAAGAAACGAATTTGTTGAGACAAATAAGGTTTTTCAACCTATCCTTTAATTTATCTTGGTTCGTTTTTTTTTTTGGCTTACTTCTCTCACCCAACTGTTAGACTTTTGTTTTTATACTAAATTTGATTACGAAATGTTCCATTCCCTTGATCAATACATAGGGATCACAGCGTGTGTTACCGATCAACAAGGGATGCTTACTCCTCTAGATACCGTTCCAATCTCTGGATCTCTGGTATTCGGGGGGGGGGGGATGCGGGTTTATGCCCTGCCCACATGTTCGTATTGTTTGCATATTTTTCGAAATAAATCAATGCTCATTATCCTCACTTTTTTTCATTTCAGAAATATTCAACTTTTAGATAGAATGGGTTCAGACGCCATTAAAAAAAACACAATGCATTTATTAGAATACCTGGTCCGTTCATATTCAAAAAAAAATCTTAATAGCTAGAATCATTTAACATAAACGTACCCATTTTTGACTAAATAAGTCTAAAAACAATTTTCAATCAATATGCCTTTCAGGACAATATATGAATCTAATATGTTGAAGATGATATTACCGACAACATAATTTTAGAAAAATAAAACTTTTCCGTCATAGAGCGGGTGATTGTCCTCGCCTTGGACACCTTTTTTCTCTCTTTTATAAATCTATGATAAAGAGATTATAATGCAACTTATGTAATATTTCACCTATTTTCACACTATCATCAGACATCAGAACTTAAAACTAAGAATCTGAAACAGAATCTATTAAGATAAAAGTTTAATTAAAATTTGGCATTATATCCCCATAGACAGATCCAGAATAGCGGATAATTGTTAGGGGATTAAGAACTGATAATTTTTTCAAATTCACTAAAATTTAAGAATATTAAAGTAACTCCCCCCCCCTCCCTCCTTCCCAAGAAACGCAAACTCTTAACAGTCAGTCTACGAGAAAAGAATATAGTTACCGAAGTTCACTGATTTTCAGGGATATGTTATGATTTCTATGAAAAAAGATCCATGCATTTCTTTGAGAAATGTGGTAACCATTTGTTTTCTTTTTATTACATGCAATCTCTTCTTAACGCTTATTTGGCTGAATTGAAATTAGTAAATGAACGAAGCGGCATTAAGATTTGAAGTTGAATGCGTTTTAATTACTAGTAATCATTAAATTATCAAATCAAAACTTTGAATGAATATATATATCACTAAATATTTACAAAACCATGTGTATATGTAAAGTCTAAAAGTTGAATTCGATCTTTAAAATTTGACAATATTACATGTTAATTGGTGAGCAACATGAAAATTCTTAATCTGGTATGTTTTTGTTGATGAATGAATGTCATAAGTTGATAGGAAAAATGAAAATATATGTGGAAGAATGTAGCTTGTCCACCAATTAAGCCGACCCCATCCCTAACCATAAAATAGGATTTTTGTGTTGGGATCTGTTAGTGTTATGGACAACAATGTAACCCCCTCCCATTTCCCGAAGAAATTTATGCTTGAGAAAAATCCTTTATTCCGGAATGAAAAAATGGAACTAAACATATAAATTAAAGAAATAAAAACGTCATTACAGTTGCTTCCATTAGAAATTAAAAAAGATACTGTCACGAAAGGTTCAAAATGTTATAGATAGGGGTATAATTTATTTTATTAAAAGAAAAATAAGTAACGTCAGGGGCCTGTGTGTTTGTACTCTCCTAAGTAACTTACCAAGAGGCCACACTACTTTTTCTATAATTTATATAAATACATATGTATCACACTCACCGATTGAGCATAAAATTCTCAAGGTGAGCATATGACACATGAACCTCCTACAGACTGGGACATTGTTGAAATGTAAGAGGAGTCTTGGGAAGAAAATATTGTACAGTACTGTTGTAAACACAAAGTAACGTCAATAAATTATTTTACTAATTGCACCAGGCCTAAATGCTATATGTATACTCGAAAAAAGTATAGCTGTCATGACAACAAAGATAGCTTTCTGGATATTTTCTACGCAAACATAATATAGCTCTGGAAAAGTTGGGTAGGTGCATATTTGATGTAATTGCCAGGTTATAAAGTAGACCTTGTGGTCGAATTTGATAGCTTACGTTTGATAAAGATTCATATTAAACATTACAATAAATGTTTTATTGAAATAATATCAACAGTCCATTCCAGAGGATGACAAGTCAAAAAATGACCATTAGATGCGTGAAAAACGAGTGCTTCCGATGTTTATGGAGGGGTAGATGAAACAAAAATATGATTATCTTTAAATATACCAGGAAGAAGTCTCATATTGTTTGAAGTAGTTGTATTATCAGTAAGAAAACGTATATAAAAGCACATTTTTTGTCTAAATGTGCAGACAGAAACTTCGAATGACCCAAACAAATATAGCTAGTGATCCAAATCAAGTAGATTTTCGATTAGCACTTTGTATACAGTGCAAATACATGTAATAAATTGCATGAAAATGTCATAGCATTTTATTATCAGCTAAGATTATTCTTTAAATTGCATGGATTTTAAATTGTTTAGTGTACGTTTTTTACTCTTTTTAACTTCTTTTAAGTCATGCAAGAGCGTTGTTGAATTTTTGTATTTTGCCATATTATATAAAGTAGTAATTGTGGAATATTTTATGAAAAATTTTATCGTACATATGTATGTTTTTGTTTTTCTTTTTTTTTAGCTCGTTTTAAGCTATGCCAGGGCTTTGTTGTTTATTTGCATTTGTTTGTGCCATATTATATACCGGTATATACTCGTAATTGTAGAGTTTTTATTTTAAGACTTTTAACAAGTATACATTGATGACAAAACCTTCGAGACCGTGCCATGTTATGTACTTGCACAACAAATAACACGTACTAAACGTATGCTGGCAAAGTCCAGGGAATACATTTGGAAACATTAATGTTGGCACTTATGAAAGGCTGTTTTAGTATTTACTGCCACTTATTGATATGTTAAATGTGAATCAAAATACTAGTACAAATTGGAAATTGTAGGTTTTACTATTGGAGTTAAAATTGCACAGGTTCTTATGAATGAAAGTGTTATAAAATGACTCATGCTTTGTATTTTCTAGTTCCTCTTCCTTTCGGGGGGGGGGGGGGGGTAGTGTTCTTTTGTTTTGTAATGAAATATTTGGAGATTAAGAACAGTATTCAAGCTCAAAAGTCCATCAAACAATACAAAATAGGAGCGGAGCAAAAAGGGACCTCCAAAACATCAGAGGTGGGATCAGTTACCATATTGAGGAGTGAGAATCCCCCTGCCGACCGCTCACACCCGGCGTGTGCTCCTTGTCATGATCGGGAAATAACGGATATATCCGTCGAGAATTCAAGTGTGTCAATAATCTGGCCTAACAATTAGTATGAAAAACGTCAGTCATTATTTGATTAAATGATAAATTGGTTTTGCTGACAAGGTCAATGTGTCGACCATATAATTCATGAAATGATGACATTGAACGAGGCTCTTGCGTATCGAATCAACTGAGAGATATAAACCCCGTATGCAGGTGCTGCATGACGACTGAAAGTTAAAGTCATCACCTTTATCATAGAGCTTGGTTGTTAGATAACCAATAAGGTCTTTTTCAAGTAAAATATCCAACTATGAAATAGATGTGTCAGACGCTGTGTTATATCTTATCTTAAGCTCACATGGATATATATCGTATCGACAAAAGAATGGAAAAAAAAACCCATTGT